TGAGATGCTGGTGGAGAAGTGGTCCTGGTTGTTGTGGGAGCACTCAGCAGTTGGCAGCAGTTGGACCCAGTCATTTTGGTGGTAGCTGATGAAGTGGCACAAATATTTCTCTATGGCTTTGTGGGCAATTTCAGACTGTCCATCAGTTTGAGAGTGGAACGAAGTTAATGGGTGTAACCTGATTCCCAATTGGTGGTCCAGCTCTCGAGTGATTTGGGAGAGACAGACCCACGGTCAGAGACAATAGTTTTGGGTGTACTGTGCAATTTACAGACATTCTCAAGCATTAAATGGCCAAGTCCCTCGGCTTTGAGTGTTTTGTTGCAAGTTATGAAGTGGGCCATCTTTGTAAGGCAGTCAACAACTGTCACGATACTATCAAATCCACCTGATGAGGGAAGGTCAGTGACCAGATTGTAGCTGATGTCTGTCCAAGGTCCAGCAGGTATTGGGAGCGGTTCAAGTGGTCCAAGAGGTTTCTGCACACAGGATTTGGTTGGTTGGAAAGAATCACATCCATCCACATACCAGTTCACAAGTTTTTTCATGGAGGGCCACGTAAAGGAGTGTTGAACCAGGCTGAGGGTCTTTCCGCGTCCAGGGTGTCCCGCAAGTTTGGAGTTGTGATGAAAACAAATTACACCCAGTAGCATTCCTCTCGCGCTCCCTTGTCAAATCCAAAAGAAACTACAAGATCTTCGACAAGGAACTCCTAGCAATCATGGCCTATTTTAAGGAATGGTGACACTACCTAGAAGGCAACCCAAACCAACTCAAAGCTATTGTTTACACCGACCAACGCAATATTGATAGTTTCATGACAACTAAACAACTCACCCAAAGACAAGCAAGATGGGCCGAGACAATGGGTTGCTTTGACTTCGAGATTGTTTTCCGACCTGGACAACAATCCTTAAAACCTGATGTAGTATCACAAAGACCAGACCTGAAGCCCTCAGAAGAAGAATGACTGAAATTCAGACAACTCTTCTGACCTGAAAACATCTGACCCAACACATTCACTGAAGTTGCAGCATTCAAATCATTTTTTGAGGACGAAACTATTGACTTGGACAATGCTGACTATGGGTTTGAAATTGACGTAAGGAATAGATCCCATTGCCACTGCCAATCTGGTGTTGTCATACCCTAAAAGTACCTCTCCTACGTCCGATGGGCTCATGTTGAGGCAAGCTAGGCAATTTGACCAGGGGTGTTTTCCTCAGTTTGGGAACACGGTAACACCCCCGCAATGTGTGTATGATTCTCCTCTCCAACTGCTCCCTGTATCAGCTAGCCATTCTGTTTCTCCCAATTTTCTATCCAATACAGATATCATCGAGGAAATCTGCAGGAGGAGCCCATTGGACGCCAGACTCAAGGAAATCTCCAATAAAAAACCGTCTGAATACTCAATGGTGGACGGACTCTTTGTCGTAAGGGACTAGGATACGGTTCCGGTGATAGATCTATCACTGGAACTGTATCCTAGTCCCTTACGACAATGAACTGAAAACCACCTCAAAGCTAGAAGGACACCCTGGAAGAGCCAAGACACTTGCACTAGTCCAATGTTTGTTCACCTGGCCATCAATGAAGAGATTTGTTAACTGCTACATGGATAGCTGTGATTCTTGCCTGCAATTGAATTCCTTCACCCAAAAACCGCTAGGAACACTTGAACCATTACCAATCCCTGCCAGAACCTGGACCGAGATCATCTATGACATGATCATGGATCTCCCAATTTTGAACAGCTACAACAGTATCCTGACCATGGTTGACCGACTGACAAAGATGGCTCACTTCATCCCGTGTTCAAAGATGATGAGTTCCGAGAAGCTAGCGCAACTGATGTTGAACAATGTTTGGAAACTCCACGGAACACCAAAAATCATTTTATCTGACACATCACCAGAGAACTCAGCAGAAATCTAGGAATTCAACTTCTCCCATCCACCGCCTACCACTCTTTCACTGACAGAAAGTCTGAAATTGCCAACAAAGCAGTTGAAAAATACCTGCGCCACTTTGTTCAGTAGCATCAAGACAATTGGGAAACCCTCCTTCCAACCTCTGAATTTTCTCACAACAACCACGACCACATTTCAATTGGAATCTCTCCCTTCAAAGCTAACTACAGATTCAACCTGGCATACGGACAAATACCAACACCCGGTCAATTCCCAATAGTTGAAGAACAGCTGAAGGCATTATCTGAAGTACAGATTGAATTGAAAGAATGTTTGGAACATGCTCAGGAGACAATGAAAGAACAATTCAATCAAAAAGTGTGAGAAACACCGGACTGGAAAGT